ACTGGGGCCGGTTGTATCAAAGGCGTTTAAGTCGCTAACCACCGTTTAACTCGCTATCCGCTGGATAAAATTTAAACGCTCGAGAAATCGCGTTGTATCAAGCCCGTTTAGGGCTATCCACCGGTTAAATTTTGCCTATCCACCGTGTAAACTTATACGGTCTCTTGAGACCGTTGAAATCGCTATACGGCGGATAAACTCGGAGTTTGAAGATAAAACAATGATTATTTCGGATGAAAAAGCATGGGATAGTTATAAAAATGCACAATCATGTAGAGGAGTTATCTTTTTAAATCCAATAAACATGAAAAACTCACTTTTAACTGGCTTGGTCTTGAGGAACACTGAGGTCACTTGCTCACTTGTAATTCAGTGGCTTTGCTATATTTACGCACACCAGTGTCATGTTTAGATGTTAAGTAATATTATATACTCCGGCTTTTTCTTCTTCTTTTCTTCTATTATATAGTTTGAAAACAAGCAGTAAGACTCCCAACTTTAGCTATTGTAAAACAAACAATGACTTTGGAAAGCCAACAAGTATACAAAATAGACAACAAGACGCCGAAAGTCGAAAAAAAATTGTTCGCTCGCGTTAATCGCTTTGATCAGCCAATCAAAACTTGGGACAAAATGTTCTTAAAATTGTTTTGAACAAAAGTGCAAGGTCGAGGAACAAATTTCAAACAGTATAAAACTGAATCAACTGACAAAAGCCAAATACAACTCACAGTGCCCTCGACTCTTCGCATAAAGAAGCAAAAAATCTTTAAAGAAATATCCGTAAGTGAATTTAAGTGAATGAGAAACTCAACACAATGTGAAAATGAAAAGTTTGATATAGATTTGCAGCAATGGATGGATGAGCAAACTCCAAATAAAAACAACAACAAACTTTAGTGCAAAAGCTTAGTGGAATTCACAAGTTAGATAAAGCTTCAAAAGTTTACAAAGGCCTAGCAACAGCTGACGTAGAGGCACAGAATAGGAAGGTATAGCAGAAGCGTTACTCAAGCAAATATTTGTCCGCGTTTTTACAAGCGATTCGTCATCAATCACGCCATCCTGGCTAGTACAACCGGCACTTTGTACCTACCAAAACCTGATAAAAACTTCCGGCTGTACTAGCCAGGATGGCGTGGATTGGCGTGAGCGAGTTAAAATTTTCGTGGACGTCAAACAATAAGGAAAACGACTAGAGTTACGCTTCTGCTATAACTTCCTATTCTGTGGTAGAGGTAGGAAATTTCAAGAAAATCCGGTTTTCTCCGGTTAAATTAAAGGTTATCCTACGGATAGTTAAACGCGGTACTAAACGGGCTTCGTACAACGCAGTTTTATCGGCCGTTTAACTATCCACTGGATAAGAAATTTATACGCTGGATAGCGGCTAAACACCGTTTAAGTTAAACGCCTTTGATACAACCGGCCCCTGATATATTGCCATCGTGCGCGTACCGGAAGTTTGTAAGCGTGCTCATAGCCAATCAACGACAACGTATAGATGAAATGACGAAATGAAACTAATTTCAAAATGGCGGTTTACTGAACGGTAAAACAAAAGGCAATTTGTGAATTTACGATTAAAATTATGCATCAAACGCAGTTTAAAACAACGTCATTTTACTAATATGAATATGGCAAATGTCGATAGTGCATTTTTGGCAAGCATTTGAAGGGTTTCATCATTTAATACGCAGTGGAAACGAAATGATTCACAATTTTTGACAAGAAAATTATTGACTAATATGGCATTGAGAATACTGTCATGAAACTATGAAAGTAATGATTCTTCCACATGTTGCCGTTATAGCTGTATACCGAGTTGTAAGTGTTGATGTTTATGTACTTCTCAATTTAACATTTTCATTGGTGACTGTAGTTAATATAAATTATATTAGTTGAATGAAACCAATAGAAGGCTATATAATTTCGTAAGTTTACATAATTTCTTTATCAATGATCATAATTAACTATAGACAATTGTCAATAAAATAATATTGTCATATTGTCACCAATTGGTGTCTGCTTTCATTACAGACTTTGAGAGATCATTTTATACAAATTTAGCAGAGTCAGAAGCTAAGTCACACATATTGGAAACATTTCTCTTAAAGCACTTTATAGCAGTATGTGCATTGAATAATTGCTTTCATTAAAGCAAAGCCAAAGTAATAGTGGCTGCATAAAGAGTAGAGATTCAGTTTTAGATTGGAATATCAATACTTATAGTAACAGTTGCAACCTGTCATAGTTATCAACTTGCAGTATATAACTATATATCCTGGAGGGGGTTCTCCCTTCTTCATCCACCCTGATTTCTGCAACTGAATGTCATTGCCAAGAACACCAGTCAAGCAATTTATACCCCCCTTCACCTATCCCATACTATACTGTATTGTCTTTTAATCAACAACAACCATATGTCATAATGGGATCTTATTTATAGCACACAATGTACAAAACTAACATAATATTCTGTTTAGTGGATTTTCTTCCACGACAAAATATTATTGCATGGATCTGGTATGCTGAATTATATCATTCTATTCAAGAACTATATGCATCGATTATACTTCTAATTTCCATACTTGTCATCATTTGTTGCTGATGAATGACTTTCAATATATGACCTATTTGATATATTTACTAGACATAAACAGTTGATTTGTGTGCCATCAACCCTGACTATGACATTTTCCAAAATGAAATAGATCAATTATAGACAGCAGAATTTTGATGTTATGTATCAATTATGGTATAAAAAGGCTTTCAAAACTCTTTAAATGTATATTGGCACCACCTGTTATCCTGACAACTTCTATGCATCTACAACGTTCTCCGATGCCTGCTAAAGTTTATTATGAACTATCAAGAAGATTTTGAACCCGAAATATTTTAAGAAGAACACAGGGATGGATTTATTGGGGGGGGGGATGCGGGGGGAGGGGGTTTGCACCCTCCCCTAGCCCTGGCCAGAGGGGGTGCAGGAGAGGGTCCTATTTTGTCATGATAAGCAAAAAATTATTAGAGACAAAATGAGATACAGAATCGAAATTTGAGTAATAATATGATGGTGGGCGAACTGTAAACAACAATTACAATTCAAATACTGTAGTCAAGCAAGACTTTGCAATAGTGAAGCAAGTTTATGGGCGGGCGGCACACATGACCGACACAACTCGGCACCAGAGCGGGCAGCGTACCCCCCCCCCCTCTCCCCATCAGATCATGCTGGATCCATTCCTGTAAGAACATTATAAAACTAAGATGATTCAACAAGAACTTAAAATTGAATATCATCTTTGTGAAGTTATGGCCGGAATTAGTTTCTGCAACTTGAATAAATATCAGCCATTTTATTTTTCTTTCATCTGACATACTATAAATCTAACTTTATTTAATTGGTCAACTGTTAAACATCAGTCCCTTAATTTTTTTTACAAGCTACTGAGTGTTGATTGAAGCCCTGGCAAAAGTGCAATCACCATGAGCAGATACATGTACGCTTAGCGTACCTATTTTTGTAGTTGCCCCCCACTGACGAATTCTTAAAAAATGCCCTGAAGAATAAAGGCACTTTAGTTTTATAAAGAACATTTTAAAGACTTTAAAACGTTTTGCGAAACGTTTGTGGTTGAATTTTACCTTAAATTGAAGCTAATTATATTACGCATAATATCATACCTAACATATATATGTTGGGAAATTGATAATTTTGTAATTAAAAGTGATATTTTTAAGCGATTTTTTATTTGTAAGAATATTCTTAAGAAATTATCGTGTTACCATGACAACTACTTTAGATACTTCATGTTCGGAAAATATAATGGTTTTGTCAGCAAGGCGAGGGTTTCTCCATGCATGTATTTTCTAGTATAGAGATCAACTTGCTTTGATGGAATAGGGATACCATTTGTTTGTGTGAATTGAGTATGTTAAGGTCATTGTATTTCTTTGTGCAAGACATAGATACATTTTGACCGTACTAAACCCAATTGAGTTTACATCAGACATTTGCAAATACTTTTTTCAACCCATTGAGAAATCATTTTTTTTTTAATTTAGTGGGGAAAATAAACTAAATAGCCTCTATTTCTACATATAACTAAATCATTGCCACTACTAGTATTACCGATATAGCACTCCTAGTAAAAACACATAATTACATATGGATGCTTCGCCAGTTGGCCTCGGTGCCATTCTAACCCAGACAACACCCGAAAAGGATGATAAGAAAGTTATGGCTTACGCCAGTCGCTCCCTAACACCAGTTGAAAGCCGGTACTCGCATATAGAAAAAGAAGCATTAGCTATTATATATGGCATTGACCATTTTCGTTTATATCTTTACGGGCACGTTTTTACATTAATAACTGACAACAAACCTCTTTAATTAATCTACAAGAACCTCCAGTGTCGTCCATCCAGCCGTATCGAGCGATGGTGCTTACGTCTGGAAGAGTACTCATTCCATGTTAAATATCGACCCGGTCCAAAGAATCCTTCAGACTATCTATCTCGTCATCCATGCACTGCCACAAACACCAGAAAACCCCTTGAGAATATAGATGAAGAACACGTATGCCTGATTGCTGAAAATGCCATACCTGTTGCTATGGATATTGCTTGTATCAAGGATGCAACCAGACAAGACCCCAATCTTAGTAAAACCATAGAATTCATTCAAACAAATAACTGGACTGCTCTTGAGAAACAAGACAAAATGCCTACATGAGTTTTAACTATTCATCAATATTAAAATATTGATGAATTACATGCCTTGCATAAACTACGAGATGAATTGACTGTGTCATCAGATGCCGATATTCTACTTCGAGGAAACCGAGTTGTCATACCAAATAAACTGAGAGCCCAAGCTGTTAAATTGGCACACGAAGGCCACCAAGGTCTAGTTAAAACTAAATGCTTGATCCGAAAGAAAGTATGGTTTTACCAAATTGATTCATATGTTGAAGAGTGCATTAAAAAGTGCTTACCTTGCCAATCAGTCACTCGACCAAAACCCCTGCACCACTGAAATTGATTCAGATCCCAAAGCATTTATGGGATACCGTTTATGTAGATTTTCTCGGCCCATTTCCAAGTGGAGAATTACTTCTTGTGGTAATTGATGGTCAACACGTTTCCCTGATGTAGAAATTGTTAAGAGTACATCTACAAGTTCTACCATCCCTCGACTGGATAGGATTTTTTCAACACATGGTTTACCAAAGAAAATTATCACTGACAACGGCCCACCTTTTACAAGCTATGAGATTCAGAAGTTTATGAATGATAATAAAGTCCATCATCGTATGATAACACCACTCTGGCCTGAAGGCAATGCAGAGGCTGAGAACTTCATGAAACCTTGGAAGAAATGTATCCAAGCTGATCATGTTGATCATAAAAACTGGCGCAAAGAAATTATCAATTCTTATTAAACTACAGATCCACTCCACATTCAACAACTACGGTTCCACCAGCTACTGCTTTGTTTGGACGTTCCATTCGCAATAAGTTACCGTCAGTTACTGAAACACTCCCAGATATGAAGTATATCAACGAAACAATAGATACCGCTGATCTGAATGGCAAGTGTAAACACAATGAATATGCTGATAAACGCCGACATGCTCGAACACTTCAACTCGCTGTTGGAGATTGTGTTTTTGTGCAACAAGAGAAACAGAATAATTTACCACCACAATTTGACCCAAATTCATACACCATAACGGCAGTAAAAGGAACCATGAATACGGCTACGAGAGCTGATCATTGCATAACTCGGAACAGTTCACATTTCAAGTCATTCACGGGAAGTGCTTCAAATCAAGGAGAAACCAGTGACAACAAAGTTTAGGGACGAAATGAAAATGCTAGAGAGAGAGAGAAATGTAGTTGTTGAAAACAGAAATGAAGGCAGACCACAATATCCACGAAGACAACGGAAAAGAGCAGAACTCTTTCATGATGGTCAACGTTAAGTACAAGACTATAATACTATGTACTTTAATTTAAAGGACTCAATAGACATGTTAAACAACATGACTCAATGTGTTATGTTAAACAACCGAACAGTTTCTAGGTTAATATCAACAACCGTTAAATTAATTATCTTAAATACCAAGGCGGGGAGAGATGGTTGTCCTTGTAGTATCAGGTGATCATGAACTCACGTGATATAGCCTCATGGGGCTTCGGTGGCGAAGTGGTTAGCGCACTTGCCTTTCACCTCTAAGGCCGCAGGTTCGAATCTCAGTGAGAGCTTCTCAATGTGACTCGAACCCAGTCCTCATGTGAAAAGAGTAAATTAAAGTCAACGCTCTGCCGAAAGTCGTGGGTTTTCTCCGGGTACTCCGTGTTTCCTCCCACAGGGAAAGTTGACAGGGTGGGTTAGGCACATAGGATAGGTCTGGAGGCAGATCATTAATGAGGTATGGACTAATAGCGGCTGCTCAAGCGCCATTTGTAAGCTCAAAGTCTACCTCGGTCTGCTTCACGTCAGTCCGGTTCTATCTATTTATTCATAATGTAACCAGTCACTGAAAAGCCCTGATAGGGAGTGCTCTGTGAAATATCTGTATCTGTATCTATATCATGGGGCAGAATGTAAGATGGCGGTTTATTAACAGAGTGTGCTTACAACAGTTATGACTTATGTGGACAATGCCAATCAGAGTTATGTTGTTGACAGAGGTTAAAAATGTTATCTTAATGTATATATTGATGTTTGTAAGATTGTAGTTCTAGCTTATATATTGTAAATATTTAATAAATTTAGCTATTTTTAAATTTGTGAATTGTACACTCAGATTTGCTGCTTCTTTTATTTATTTTTTATTCCAATTAGATCTATGATCTGAGACCAAGCTGAACAGGGGTGTGTAATTTTGTACACCTTCCAAGGTGTGTATTTGCATGCTGTGTAGCAAGCGAAAAGAAGTTTATTTTGCACATCTTGCAAGGTGTGTAAAAAAGCACGCCTTAAGGTGTGTAATTTGTTCTCCAGTGATTCAGGGCAAAATACACACCATAAGGTGTGTATTTTTACACACCTTCTGGAAAACCACGCCTTAAGGTGAGTGAATTTGGCGACAAGCAAAAAACGCAAAACACACACCTTAACGCGTGATTTGCACACACCTTTATCTGTCAAATACACACCTTAAGGTGTGTAAAAATACACATATTTTCCGGAAAATACACACCTTAACCTGTGTAAAAAAACACGCCTCAAGGTGTGTGAATTTGGCGACAAAAGGTGTGTTGAAAATACACACGTTATTTTTTAGGGTGGTCAGGTCAGTTTGAGTATGTGATATTTCGGAACTGAGTACGTAGTTCCTTCGATATCGATGTAATCTAATTTCACAATATCACATACTCGAACCAACGTGACCACGTAGCTCAGTTGGCAAAGCATTGGGCTAGTATTCGAAAGATCGTAGGTTCGATTCCCACCGTGGCCAGGCATATTTTTCAAGCTTGCCCGGTGTGGATATACACTCTGAATAACATCATAAGCATCATATTTAATTCACCTGAGTGCATTACACCAACACAGAAAAAAATATTTCTGGGAGTCATGAAATCTAGGAGTCATAAAAATCATAGATTTAAATTAACAAAATGTTTTTGCCAGTGCTTTGATTCTCCTACATCTAATCGTTTTAAGACTGTAATCATACTGGAACCATGGGATCGTTGGTTTCCAGAGAATCGGCAATATGGAGCATTTCAGTTGTAGTCGGTTTGGCCATAGAAATGTCATTATATGCTGAATAATCAAATAATTGTTCAAAACTGACCGAACGAAGTAAAAAACAAAAGTACGTACAGCGAGTGCATGTGTATTTTTCGACTGTTCACATGGAGCATGTTTCAATTTAAACAAGACGCTCCACCGAGTGTTAAGTCGCTGGGGCGATGGAAATATCAAACTTTAAATACATTTAACACCATGCACTAAAGAAGAGCGCACTGTTTTTTTTCCCAAAAATATTGATTCTTGAAGTTTGCAGTTTGTCACGCACCTAGCGCTAATATAGTTAAAACAAGTACAACCATCATGTTTCGCTCGCTATTCTAAAATTTAAAATAAATTATTACAAAGCCCATTGATATACCTGGTTGAAGTGAAAGATCAAACTTTCAAAGTATAACAACGTACTGTATAGCAATGTTGTTTTAATAGTCATATAGTATACAGTATAGTAGTGTATCATATGTGTTAATATTATAAGCGTTTATCCCGTTGTCATTACACATACCGGCTGCCTTGTGTTTTGTTAAGAACTGGCCAAGTTAAAACCAAACTTAGCCAGCTAGTTAGCCCGTTCAAAGCTGGAAGGCAAGCATATTCTTCGCCTCGAAACTAGATGCATTATAACATCTGCGGTCTAATACAACAATGCCTCCTCAAAAGAGACGTATTTCGCATGATTACAAGTGATCATGCAGCTAATGTCCTTTGTCTACAACCATGCATAGCAATAAAGCTTTAGTCATGTATTACTAATCTACATTCCATAGTGTGCACTATAAAGACGGCGAACTGGAATAATAATTAACAATTACTTGATGAGGTTTTTGTGATATGCGGAATTATCAAGCTCGAGGTAAGCGTTATCAGCCGAGCGAAGGCGAGGCTGATAACGCTCACCGAGACCTTGATAATTTTGCATATCGCAAAAACCGAATTCAATAATTGTTTTATTATACATTATAATAAACACAGTACTAACGCATGATAAACTTTATTTATGAAAACCTATACATATCATAGGCTGCCCAAAAGTGCGTGTTGTAATTTTTGCCCTCGCGCGTGGCGCTCGGGCATACATCGAGTCTACTCAGTTTATTATTATGACAAGTTTGGCAAGACTTTTAACGGAAATTTATTACAACGTTTACTAGAGTATGAATATTTCACAAATTACAAACAAAAACAATATAAAATCTACATCATTTCAAACACTGGTAATTTTACTACATTCTCTCAAAGTTTTAACTTCAAAAGTTCATTCTAAGGTTGTTAAAAAAGCGAATTATTTTTGGGTTTTTTTGCCAAATTTTGTCAAAACTATGCTGGGGTCACGTACCCTGTGGTGATGTCATATTTTTTAAATCTTGAAGAAGCGTTGATTTGCTGTTGTACACGATTACAGTACAACAGCAAATCAACGCTTCTTCAAGATTAAGATTAAGACTATGGTTTCTAAAGCATCAAAGACATTCGAAAGACCGCCTAAATACTATCATGAAGTTTTTTATTCCACTCACAACAAATTCTAAGACTCAACTAAGTGATTGAGATTATCACTAATAATCTCACAAATATACCCAAATTCTTGTACCCAAATATACTCAAATTAATTGTCAATTTATCGTATAACCTAGAGAACGTTATACACAGCAAATACAAATTGTATGTTATAAATACGAATCTTAAGGCTTCCGGTCTGAATCCTTGTTACATTATTAGTTTTAACCAGATGCATCTGTAGCATAAATCGCCGAAACAACTGCGGTTTAGTGTAGTAAGCAAACTTTTTAAAATGCAAGCTAAGCGATTTCTGCAGAAATATTTATGACTAGACATTCAATGAAAATAGTTGCAACTGTCAGCAAATTCTAAAAATACGAAAAGTCGTGCGTCGCATTGCAAATTCAGTAACAAAACGAAATAAGAAACACAAATAAATAACGTATAATTTACAGGTGACAGGCGATGCTGTTTAAATTACAAGCCAAGCAAATTCGAAAGAAATATTCAGGATATTCTGTAATCGAATTTTTAATTTTTAAGCAAATTCTGAAAGCCAAAATACAACAATCGCGCGTCGCATGACTTGTTGTGAATAGAAAGAAACAAGAAACGAAAATATCACCAAATATTAACACTAGGTTAGAAGCGATATTGTTAAATATTGTTCAATTACAAGCCACGTGAATTCTGTATATAGAAATATTGAGGATATATTCTAGATAAACACGTACTACTATAAGCAGATTCTGACCAAAATATAAAAACCAACATATAACAATAGTGAGCTACATGACTTGTTGTATAGGCTAAATTATCAAATCTTGCCGAAATTAAACTCACTAAATGGGTAAAAAATAATCAAATTATACAAACAGAAGTACTAGGCGACGTTCTTAAATTAAAGGCTAAGCGACTTTTGCAAAATTGTTACCACTGTAAGTGAATTTTCTTCGACATGCACATAACTCATACGCCTGCATGTTGTTCGATACGTGTGAAAACTCCGAAGGCAGTTTTCAAAATAAGATATGACAGTCATAATACTCACCAATGTCAATTAAGGTATAATAAAGTTAAGCGTCTCATTCAAATCTTGCTATTCAGTGCCAAGTTTGGATTGCCAAATTTATGAAGACAAGTCTATACTGTAGCTTATCGTCTCGTAGAATATGTAATACAATATAATTATATATGACACAATTTTAATATTATATAGACATTCCAGAATTATCATCTTGAGTGCGTGGAAAACAATGGCTGAAGTCAAGCAAGACAATTTAATTAATCCATTTTCAAGTGGCAGCTAAAAATATTTTAGAGTACGTGGCACAAGCGACCTACTAACAAGTCATTTAGTTAATTTTGTTTTTCAAATGAGAGTTTTAATTAAAGTGATCATTAATTTTAGTTGATATATCTGATATATTCGCTTTTAGTTTATATGTCTTCTTTTTTCATCATTGACATGTTAAGCACATTCTAGTGAACCAATTCAGTCAAAAAAGGAAAAAACTGTTCTTCAGGTAATATTGTGGTATTTAGGGACCAGTTATAGAGTATGGGAGTGGGGAGATGGGTAGGTGAAAACGGTCGTGGGGGGCACCACTTTCTTGCTTACATTAGTGGTGGGCAATGTGTGAATATGTTTTAATTTACATTGTTAATTAACCCCCTTGACGAGTAAAACAGTTTGGCGTTAGACAGAGTAAAATATTCTGGCGTTAGACAGAGTAAAATTGTGTTGCGTTAGGCAGAGTCAAATAATAGAGTGGACCGCATCAGGACGCACTGCGACTCAATGGGATAACTATATAGACTTATGGAATGATTCCATAATTCACGCATGCGCATGCTGTACATGTACATTATCATTATGGAATCAACGTGTTTGAAAAAAAGAACTGATTTTTCAAGGTTGTTTTTTTTATCAAACGAAAAACCTTTTTTGACCGGTTTTGAAAGGCGATTGAAGTAGTCAAACGTATTTTACAAAGGTAACCGTCGCATGACAAGTTTTTAATGGTTTGAAACTGATTAAAATTTTTTTTCGTGTCAAAATTTGCCGGAGCTCATTTTTGTGCTTCGAATTTGTTTCTGCAAGTACATGTTTTCGATATATTATATTGACTTAAATGTGTTTTAGATGCATCAAAAGTTTGCTATGGATATAAAGTAATTTGTGTGCAATCATCTTAGTTTTCAATTGTACTTGGAAGATTGGTCTAGTGCTGGATTGAAAATCGCCACTTCATGGCTGGACTGCCTGGACATTGCTGCCTGGATACGTATAGGGGTGTACGGCAATAACAAATAACGTTTGAAATCTACAATACGTCGCTTAATTTGTGGATGTTTTAAGAAACCACGACGTTGGAAGAAACTAGGACGTTGAAAGTGTGATGGTCTGATGGACATTTGTAATTGTCGGCGTTGAGAATTTTTTTAAAAGTATTAAATCCGATGGGAGTGTGGAAAAAGGACATTGCTTTTATAACAAGGTAGGCTCGTTTATATTAAAACATGAGAAACTTTTTTAATTCAAACTGACTGTTTGTCTTCACATCCACCGACTCTGCTTTTGTATTGCTTGATATCAACAAAAAATCGTAAATCTTTTGCCAACACTTTTATTATTAAAGGTACATGTATACACGAGCGCTGCAAAATATAGTTCACGATATAAAACACAAATTTACTTAAAGAAACGAGTTAACGTGGGCTCGAAATGTCTTTTTATTCGTATCTTTTTGCATATTATGGGACGTTTTTCAACCCACTGTATATGAACAAGTATATGCAAGATGAAATTTATAATTGTATTCTAATTATATTATGTGAAAAACGTTTCAAAGTTTTATACCCACTTGTAAAGTGATAGTCTTCGCAATTTTCTTCTTTACATTTTAGTACACTTTCGTTTTAAAAAATGTATTTTAAATCTTTTTAAAAAAAATTTCACATTATTTGTCTTTTTTCGCACTTTTTTAAACTTGTTTAAAATTTTTAACTTTCCCCGGATTTGAGAAAGCACCCGTCAGTTTGTTTATTTTTTCGACAAATCAGATTCGCTCCTCAAACCGCATTCTGTATCCCGCATCGTCCCACAAAATTTCTCGGCAAATAAGCAAAAGTTTTGTACATTTTTTGTACATTTTTATTTGCTTTTTAAACTACTTGATATGGAATAATGTTGTTCGAGTATCGAAGTTTCGTTTGTGATAATTTATTTGAGGTTTTCTTGTTGTTTTCATACGAAATTTTGTCGGCGAATTTCTTACGTATGTGTCCATCATTGAAATAGTTTCCTTCCTTCTCAATAACTATAACTTATGCTTCGTTTACGCGATTTGCTTACGTCACTGAATTCACAGCGCAAGATTGAAAACAGTCAAAGCACGGTAATACGATGCAAATTTATTCATAATTAAACAAATTAAACGCTTTTTATTTGTTACAACGATATTTATTGGGAATCCTATGCCCTGACGAGAAAAATTATCTGGAGATAAAGTAAAATAATCTGGCGTTAGACAGAGTAAAATAATGCTAATAAAGTGGGGGTGCATCAGGGCGCAATGCAACTCAATTTTTCTAAAATTTCCATATTGCACGAACGTTGATGCATATACAAACGCAGTGTACTAAACTTGTTCGTAAGTTCCAATGAAGGAAATATCCGAAAGTTCAAACCATAGTTTATTGGTGTAAAATATGTAATTGGACAAATATTGTGTAAGACATTGTGAGCCTAAATAATTAGACACCAATATTCAAATTGGCTGTTATATAATCCGACTCCTATGGTGAACATATACGTAAGAAATATAAACTATGGAAAATACGATTAAAGGAACTAAAAAAGGTGAAATATTTTGTGGAACATGATATTTTAAAAGGTAAAAGATTTAAAATGAGTAAGAAAGGCAACCCATGCGCGCGTTTCAACCTAACAGTCTTCTTCAGCGCTTTTTTTTTAGGGGATTGTAAGTACAAATTATTACGAAGTTATTGAAAGAAAAACAATTACACAGTATTAACAAAAATGAAAGGTGGAAAGATAGTGAAAAAATATATAACTACTGTATCTTCCTTGTGTTGTCACTCTGAGTGTATATCCACACCGGGCAAGCTTGAAAAATATGCGTGTCCACGATGGGAATCGAACCAACCAACTTTGGAATACTAGGCCAAGGCTCTGCCAACTGAGCTACGCGGTCAGGTCGGTTCAGGTACGTCATATTTCGGAACAGAATCTAGTTTCTTCGATATCAATGTAATATAGTAATCATTATTTTTTCTGTGTTGGCGTAACGTACTCAGATGAATATAATATTGGTGATGTTACTCTGAGTGAATATCCACACCGGGCAAGGTTGAAAAATATGCCTGTCCACGGTAGGAATTGAGCCTACGACATTTGGAATACTCTCCCAATGCCCTGCCAACTGAGCTACGCGGTCAGGTCGGTTCTAGTATGTGATAATTCGGAACAGAATCTAGTTCCTTCGATATCAATATAATCTAGTAATTATGATTTTTTCTGTGTTGGTGTAATGTACTCAGGTGAATATGATGCTTGTGATGTTACTCTGAGTGATATCCACACCGGGCAAGGTTGAAAAATATGCCTGGCCACGGTAGGAATCGAACCGACGACCTTTGGAATACTAGTCCAATGCTCTACCAACTGAGCTACGTGCGTCATGTCGGTTCGGGTATATGTGATAATTCGGAACAGAATCTAGTTTCTTCGATATCAATGTAATCTAGTAATCATAATTTTTTCTGTGTTGGTGTAACGTGCTCATGTGAATATGATGCATGTGATGTAACTCTGAGTGTGTATATGCCTGTCCACCGTGGAGTACATTACACCAACACAGAAAAAATTATGATTGCCATATGTTATTAGTATAGGTAATAGCATGATTTCGAGTGCAATTTGGATATAACATGCATGCACTCGTGAGTTTTTCAAAGACCTCAAAATAGCACGATTTCGAAGGACTAGTGCTATTTGAGGTCTTTAAAAAACTCACGAGTGCATGTATAAAGGTCCCACTTTATTGCTTTAAATTCACATAAATTCCCGATAAACCTAACGTCAACAATCCTGATCTAAAACGTACTTCCAATATATGTACACCGTCCCCGCGGGCTCACTTCACCAAGTGATACTGGACACTACATCCCTCCCGAAAACTAGTTGGATATTTAACATAACAATCCCAAACTTTAAACGTTTCTACTCCTGAAACAATGTTAACTTATCTATTTTTTGGGTTATTTTATTGTTATTTTGGTTTAACGTGAAGAGCAGTTCATAAATAGGAATTTAGTTTCCTCCTACTGCTATCCTCCCTATGACTTTAATTATTAAGTTTATTAGCTTGCATGTACGTCATTCCGTAATATTTATTATTAGTTTTTCTATTTTTGTTCGTTAAAAGGGAAAGATTTATTAAATAATTAAATCAATGCAGTGAAACAGCGCATTTCGAATCGCTTAGTCCAAGCTAGAGTCATTAAACTATACTAGTATTAATAAGTCACCTTTTCCTGTTACCTGAATTGACTGTCAATATCGTACAAAATCATTTAGGCAAGATGGTTCTCTTCGAGTACGTGTAGGGCGCTGTCTAGCTCCCTCTTACTTCTCGTTCTTCTTCTGTCGCTGTCGGAGTGACTGTATCAGAGTTGTTACTTGTCAATGTGCGATTACTTCCTGACGGTTCGTTAGCATTGTCCACGCCGTTATTCGGTCTGATTTTGTTGGTCTTTTCTATTTGTCTGATTTTGTTGGTCTTTTTCCCTTTCGGGAGCTAAGCTCGGGACCTTCTTTGAAACATAATGTGTTGCGGGTAATTTGCTTCTCGTTTGCCCTTGCTGTTATCATGCTTCCATTCTTTGAAGTGACGATATGAGGCTCGACACTGTAAAATGAGCCGACTTATTCCGTCTCTTCTCATTCTTGCATGACAAACACTGTATCACCAACTTTAAGGTCGCAGGGTGTTGCATGTTTTCTCGCATCCGCATGTCATTTTATGTTTGTCTTGGCTCGGTTTTTATTTCGGCTTGCCTCGTGTTCAGTTTCGGTCTCTTCGGTGGAGGTGGTAATCTTGTTTGAGATGCACAACCGAACATAAGATGATATGGGCTAAATCCTGTAGATGGATGCAGGGTTGCACGATACTGACATAAAAATTTGTGGAGATTTTGCTTCCAGCACTTTATTTCAACAGTTGCTGCTCTCGCAGCTTTCATCAGTGATTTATTAAAAGATTCAGCCTGAGCGTTGGGTCTGGGCCAACGTGGAGTTATTTGTCGGTGGGTGAAGCCGCTGTAGAATGCGAAGTGCGCGAATGAATTGGAGTTAAACGGGCTGCCATTGTCAGTTTTCATAACCTGTGGGTAACCAAAGATTAATAACACTTTATCGACAACCGGTACTGTAGCATTTGCAGAGACTGATTTCGTTATCTCTACCACTGGATACCTAGAATACTCATCAACGATGACGAGCAGATACAGTACTGTCCATGCAGAAATAACCTAACAGTGCGGTCGCGGTTAGGTCCCGGTTAGGTCGCGGTTAGGTTGAGGTTAGGTCGCGGTTAGGTTGAGGTTAGGTTGAGGTTCGGTTGAGGTTCGGTTGAGGTTAGGTCGCGGTTAGGTTGAGGTTTGGTCGAGTTTGATCGATTGAAACCGCAAGCGAAACCGCAAATTATAAATGTTTTACTAATGCCGTTATGGCAAATTGGCAATACCTTCATTGTGCAGAAGTGGCGGGTACATGAGTTTTACTGTAACTATAGGTTTTCAAAAGATGTGAGCGGATCTCGGATTGTTAAATCTACGAAAATGCTGTTTTTAAACTAAAATAAGCCTGTAATTAAACCTTTCAATAAACCGGAACATAATTAAGCTCCGTGAAATAAATTAATAAACATAATTGAAAGTCACTACCTCTATATATTACGTACATATTATACTGTAGATATATAGATATAGGAATATTTCACTGATGTCTAATGACAAAACCTTTTAGGAACATACAGTATAGTTATAGCTACTAGCCAATTTCCGTGATTTGCCAATCGTAAACTGCTATTAAATGTAGAAAAAATGGCGGGATTATATTCGATACTGTATTCGATATAGACCTAGGGTAGTAAATCTAAAGCGCAGTAATTTTAATTCTAGCAATCTGATAATTTCGATTCTACTAATCTTGAGTTTTGTAGCGAAAGACATAAATATACACGCGGTAGTAAATTAAAGTGCAGTGATTTTGATTCTAACTTTATACAAGACTATAGTAATCTAGTTATAGGACATATTTGTAATTCAAATGTCGAAATAAAAAAGCTTGGCTTTTATCGCAGGCACTTTTGTCATATTACATGCATGCATATATATCATATCTGCAGTCAGTGGTAGCCGTAAGACCCTTGCATCCATCTATGTTTAGGCTATATCCCATATATATATATATATATATATATATATATATATATATATATATATATATATATATATATATATATATATATATATATATATATATATAT